AGCTTTCTCAAAGCAAGGCAGCTACTACTCGAAACTTCTTATACACAAAGAGTACAAACGTGTGCATTTGGACACGTCATACGAACTGCTTAACAATGAAAGTACATGAGTCAGAAGCATATTCAGAAAAGTAACGAATGTCAGCACCTTTCCATCTGGATTCACAGGTTATGAGAAGGCTGTCGACTCAGTCAACACATGACATATGCCGATTTCCTTAAGGAGGCACGGAATCGAGAAAAGATGCAGAGACCTCCTTGCCATGATTTGCAAAACTGCAACTTCGATTGGGAATCTTCGTAAAATCACTAAATGGCAGTCGACGGAGTGATGGACTCTCACCGAAGCTATTCACAGCAGCCATTGAAGAGGTTTTCCAGACACTCCGTTGGGAAATCCAGGTGCTAAACACAGAGACAACCGTTGCTTACGTCACCTTCGGCTTTCTGGCCATATTCTGGCTTTCTCAAGGTCAAAAAATAAACGCCAAAGAATAATCTAAGGGCTGAACAATGTCAGCTTCAATGTACGATTGAAAACGATTCTGGAGAGGATTAGTCGATGTTTAACAAATACATGACCCCACACCGTTGAAGCCAATAAAATCAGGCTTGAAGATAATTAATACTTCAAATTTCTGACTCTGAAACCCTGTAACTAGCGCTGATGATGCTGCGGTCTATGCACCGATGAAAAGCGATGGCCATAAACTGTTTATTCTTTGTTGCGTTTGGTTCCCTGAACCAGAAATCGTTCAAATAACTGTACATATTAGACCTGAACAGAAGAAAGCTAGTCTCTTTGAGGCAGTTTCCGTAATCTCTGCAATGGAAATCAACAGAAGGACAAAAAAGACAGGGAACACCTTGAAAGAGTGCATCTGTCCTTATGTGGGAGACTGCCCTTGTTCTTCCAATGCTAAACTATGACTGCCATACGTGAACCCTAAATTTAAAGCTATTCACAAACTGCAGACTAAGAAACACGGCATAGAAAGACGTCTGTTAGAAGATCAAAGAAGACAAGAAGACGAATCGAGTAGAGCACAAACAACAGCCTGCGATTTTCAATGCCAGAGTGAATAAATGAAAGCGGCAATAGGCAAGAAGAACCGACCAACGCTAAAGCAGAATGACATTAGACCGGGTTCTAAGTGAGAGTAGGTGGTTCGTCGGAGCACCTCCACATCGATGTCGAGATGAACGGAATAAGGACGTTGGTTCAACGTGAGAGATTATACGTTTATGAGAAATGATTATTAGAAAATGGCAGTCGATTTGCTTTTACTCTGTTTAAGTTTCTCCTGTTCAGCAAGATAGCATACTATGCCATGCAGCGATTCTGTTATCCATGGAGTTTAGTAAGAGCTTTGAAGTTTCTTAAACAGCTTATCGTAAATATTTATTTTTTGCTGGTAAAAATGAAGATTTTATCGTGCTGATTCGCTTACGCTAGGTTGGGTGATCTCCTAGATGGCACTGTAACATTGGAATAATCTAATAGTTACCTTGGTTTATAAAAGATTGATCAGAGGGACTGTGGAGATTACCAAAGTAACTCTTTACGAAGGCTTCATAGCAAATTCTACGCAACGTGCCTGCAAAAGAGACGCTGAAAAATGATTGCAGAAGATTTTGGACCCTAAGCATGCCTTCTATCTCGGTGGCAGTTCGGTGGATAGGATCTGCATCATCCTTCACCTTCGTCAGTCGGATTTGCTGACCGCTAATCTATTCTAGTCGTAGAGGCTGACGTGTCAGACAGTGTCTTCAACGTCCCCGATCCGATGACGCCGTTTGACCTGCTGCAGAACATAACCTGAACCTGGTTCTGAGGCGGAGTCCGTCAAGGCCCATGATCCAGGACATCCCAGGCCGTCCACCGGATTTTAGACATAATTGGAATCTGCGAAAATAAACAGATTTCACTGATTGCTGATCTTAGAACTCTGGATGCAGCAGGGGTAGAAAATTGCTAAGTAACATGATTAACTGTTTGCATTCTGCCTTTACGAAAATAGAAGTGCATGAAGAAAGTTTGAGGATATCTTCATCCAGCAGTGGACTGACAAAGGCTGCTGCTGATTATGATGATAAGTACTTTGATGTTGACGCTGGTGTTCGGCGTCGAGATCCCTCAGCAGAAAAAAGGTGCTTTTAAATTGTTTCTTTGAACAGGGTTCAAGAAGGGAACACTTCTAACTGTTGCTCAAAGAGGCAGCGAATCAGTGTCTCCTTCCATGCAAGATGAGTGCATAGGTGATTGAATTTGGACTTAAATACATTGAAAGTAATAACTTATTTCTAACAATTATGTAGCATGTCAACAACTCTATCGCAACATAAACAATTAATACAGCCACCGATCAAGACTCGTTGAAGGCAGAATTCGGCTATGTCAGAAACTTGTCGAAGAAGCGAAAAGTGACCCTTTATGATGGCATGAACTAATTTGGGAACCTCTGACGGCAGATCATCACTCTGTTCAGATGTATTTGCAAAATATCAAGTTACCGTCTAAAGTATATTTATCTATCCATACCGGTATTGCTCTAAACTGAGTCGCTGTCCGTTCCACAGAGAAAATATGTCTATTTCATCGCACTACCGCCTAAATTTAAACCTAAGATAGAGGTTGAGTCAAAACATACAGATGACAGGTCAAAAATTAAGAATCAGGAGCTAGACCTTACCGTACCTAACAGTTGTCGGTTTCAACCGAATGATGAATCAGCTTTCAGTCCATTATGATATGGTCCAGTCCGTCTCAGAGCGAATGGATTTCCAATTGGTACGGTAATGTATGCATTCCAAGGTACTTCTTGCCGCGCTCATGCTTTGATTTTTGTAAGCTCGCCTGTGCGGGAAACTGATGCTTGTAATTGCGTGCTATGTACGTGTAACGCTCGATTTTTTCAGGCGACATGGGAGACGTCGGTCTGCCGGGACCAGCAGGTCCGCCGGGACCGCCTGGAATCAATGGTCGGAATGGTCCACCGGGAATAATGGGCGGTCCCGGTGGTCCCGGACTACCAGGACCAAGTGGCCCAGATGGTCCACCAGGTAATGCTGGAAAAAACCGCATGATTAAACTCAACTGTTTGCAATAACCATCATTAGGTCCTCCCGGTCCAATCGGTCCAATGGGAAGGCCTGGCAATGACGGTGTGTGTCCAACGTATTGTGCGGCCGACGGCGGCGTATTTTACCTGAACGGTCAGTCAATGGGTCCAGCTCCTGTCATGCCATACAAGAAGAAGAAATCGTAGGGTGAAGAACTTCGAAAGCGAGCTTTTACTTTTATGATAAACATTTAATGGGGCAGTATAAATGAACTTATCGCAAAGTACTGCACTGTCCAGAGAGTAACAAAAATTTTGAATAATACATACCTCGAAAGTTAGGTATTGTTTACATTGCAATTGTATGATAATTAATTACAGTATGAATTCGAATAGTTTATTGGAATATGGTTCATTTTGAATATTTTACTAACCTGCCTAAAATACATGAACAACAGGAGAGCCTCTCAAAATGGATACTCTTGGCTAAATCGCATTAAAAATTGAGGATCAGACAGCTCCAGTGTCAAGCACCTGGCCTTAGAGTTCAGCCTAAGGAACTCGGCCGATCGGCGATGGATCGGCATTTCGATACAAACCTCTTGGAGCTGCTGCCTTTCCATTCGTAAAGTGCAACAGATTTTGAAAATGGATTAAGAGTTAAACTTTAGGGTCAGAATAAAAGCGCCCATCTCAACTGATGGTCGTAATTTCAAAATAAAAAAAATTCAGCATTTAAAATAAATTAAATTTCACAACGCCTAACTCCAATTTCCGACTCTGAGTTCCCACTGGTGGTGTCGTTTTCGTGTAGCCTTTTCTGATGTGCTGTAATGGCATCGCGCTGTCTGCCTCCTGCGTTCAGAACGGGTAGCGACTCCGTTGCTGACTGGTATCTTCGT